GTGAGTTTCAAGTACAGTGAAGTCTCATGTCATGCTGGAATGGGGAGCAGGTATCAGACACCTTCTGGTGAAATTTGTGTAATACTGAAAAAAGTAGCACTATACGAGCAGTAAGCAACTAACAGTTTCAGAATTTTCTGGGCTTTCCTGATGTACGTATCAGACATATAACCTAAACAGAAAAATATGTGTCTAAAAATCCCATGTGTGTCTACTGGTTATATACAATCTAACAAAGCAACATTGACTATGTTTTAAACCTTTAGGCCTTAAATACCCATAGCATTTCATCGATTATAGGCTAATCTATAGTTTGAGCTGAGTTTTGAGGATAAATAACAAAGGAGAATATCATTTCCAATCTTATTTATTTATTTATTTTGGTAAATAACAAGCCAATACTTAGAGCTTGGAAAGCATTTTGACAATTATTTTGTTCCTCTCTAAACATATCACAGAATAATAGTTAAAAGCTGAAATATGTCCCATTTCTTGGATGCTTACATTGCCAAGTTTTAAAAAAAGCAAGATTTTTTTTAGTAGTCCTCAAGAGTATTCCTACAACCAACTTCAACTGGCCTGATAGCCTTGAAAACCTCTAAGTTGAGGCTCAACAGCTGAAACAAAAAAGCCAGAGAATGGTCTATTCAACAGACTGAGGCATGTAAGAATAAAACAAAACTACTTTATGCCATTACCAAAACTCCTAAACTATCTTTTTCTAACTCCTTAAGAACAATAAATGCAGCTCCACAAAGCCTGAGAGCCTTTCATAGGATTCAGCTGCAGTCATTCCTCAGCTGGAGCCCTGGGAAATACCACAAACCTCAGAGAATTGCACGTATGTGGAAACTTTTCCCATAGAATTGTAGTAGGTGTCTGTTGTGGTTTGAGTCCCTTTATGACTAATGTAGTGGCTGGTTCGTTTATGATTTCATTTCTGTTTGATTTCTTTTCCTTTTTCTTTTCTTTTTTTTTTTTTTTTTTTTTTTTTTTTTTTTTTTTTTTTTTTTTTTTTTTTTTTGAGATGGAGTCTTGCTGTGTTGTCCAGGCTGGAGTACTATACAGCAATCCTCCCTGGTTCGAGCAATTCTCCCTACCTCAGCCTTCTGAGTAGCTGAGATAACAGATGCCAGCCTTCACACCCAGCTAATTTTTGTATTTTTAGTGGAGGTGGGGTTTCGCCATGTTGGCCAGGCTGGTCTCGAACTCCTGACCTCAGATGATCTGCCCATCTCGGCTTCCCAAAGTATTGGGATTACAGGCACGAACCACCATGCCTGACCAAGATCTCGTTTCTTTTACGGGTCTGAGTGGCTACAAAACATTGCTGTGAGGATTGTTTGCCAGGTTTTGGTTTCCGTTTTTAACCAGTGTACCAGTCTTTTTACAAATGTACCTACCAAGGAAAGGAAGAGAAAACTGTGGAGCGGAGAGGGAAACTGGCAGAAGTCTAGCTTGTGATTCTACCTCTCTGCCCTGAAGGGGAATTTTTTTTCCTAATAATAAAAGTGTGGTGGAACCTAGATTCTTTATGAAATTGAAGTTCCTTCCAAAAACAGCAAAGGGGGTCCTCGAGGTCTAAAGCTGCTTGGACACGTCCACACTCACTCCCGGCCTCTGCAAGATCCAACCATGTGGCCTTGGGGAACAATAAAAGCCGAGGTGTATCAGGTCAGCCAGCTGACCATAAGCTGTGCTTACAACACGAATGGCTCTTTGTTTTCATGCTGAAAATATGCACCTCCTGGAAGCTCTTCTGTCTTGGTCAGCTGTATGTGATGTGATTCGTGTTATGGAATGTGGGAGGCATGTGCTCACAAGCATTCTGATTCAGGAATCAGGTTTCTCTTATGTACTCAATTTGTATTGCCTTTTGTGGTGGCCCTAATACATTTTTTTCTTTTTAATTTTGGACTTATTTTAGAGCGATTTATTTCCTATCAAATCCTAGACCTAGAATGTCTAATAATTGCACTACAGTTAGCAAAATGTCCTGGAGCCTAATTTCACAAGTCCCATTTTCCTGCGGCCTGGGAGCCCTTGGTCTTGATACCTAGGAAGGGTGCTCATGTGAGTGACTGAGGTAGGAGAACATCTACTTTGGCCTACTCTCTGGGCAGTTACCTTCTGCTAAGTGGTGTGTGGGTGAACATATATGGCATTGCAAGCTCCTCAAAGAGATACGGCAGGTCTCATTGATACATCATGGATAGATTTGCCAGAACTAGCTATGTTGATATGTTTTGCTTCCTCCTGAGGCTGTGTTCATATTCACTGAAGTTTACTTCTCAGGAAAATGTAGGGAGTAACAAATAAGCTTTATGTTCCTGGGAGTCAGGAAGCCTGCTTAGCATGGTTTAAAGTCTTCATTCTACCACTAACCCACCAGTAGATTTTGGTATCTGTGCTTTGGTTTGGGAAGCCTTGGTTGGAATGAAAGAGTCTAATAGGGTTTTTTTTTTGAGACAGTCTTGCTCCGTCATCCAGCCTGAAGTGCAATGGCACAATCTCGGCTCACTGCAACCTCTGCCTCCAGGGTTCAAGCGATTCTCCTGCCTCTTGATTTCAAGCAATTACAGGCGTGTGCCACTATGCTCAGCTAATTTTTGTATTTTTGGTAGAGACAGGCATTTCATCATATTGGCCAGGCTGGTCTCGAACTTACTGACCTCCAGTAATCCACCCGTCTCAACCTCCCAAAGTGCTGGAATTATAGGCGTAAGCCACCACACCCAGCTTAGATAGTTGAATTTAGGTTTTTTGTCATTTTTTCCCTGTAGGATCTCTGAGTCTTTAATATGTTAATGGATATTATTATAAGTTCTAAGAGTGTATAATATATCCCAAGTTAGCATGACTGTTGAATACTCCCCACCCCAAAAAAGCCTATAACTTGAGCTATAAATTTCTATAGAATATAGTTCAAAAACTCTTTCTAGAAGCAGAAGTTTCCTTCCTGCTCTAAAGTTCTATGAATTTACAAAAACATTGCAGAATTACACACTTTAATGGAGATATAAAAAGAGGTCCAATTGATGATCTTATAGTAGCAATAAAGGATTTATATTGCATATAAAGGTATTCGCTATAGATAGTTTAAGCAGAAGGGTATTTATTATAACCAGTAGTTTATATCATGTAATTGAAGACCAAAAAAAAAAAAAAAAGGTCTTAAATGCTACCAAGGAAAACCCAGGAAAAATGCCCAACCACATCAGTTGTCCTATCAAAAACACCTCTGCTGCTGCTGCTGACTTTTTGGCTCACATGGCACTAGAAAACAGAAGTGAAAACTCCACTAAAGCTCCCAGAAGCTCTACCCATGCCACTGTGCTTGCTGAACGCTAGTTTCCCCACGTGTGTACATTACCTCACCTTGCTTACTTCTGCCCCATGCAGCACATTGTGGTAGGCAGAATTCTGAGATGCTCCCCAAGATTCCTGCTCCCTGACGTATACACCCTTTACAATAATCTCTCCTTGAATGTGAGCAGGACATGTGAATACAATGGGATGTCACTCCCATAATTATGTATTAGCATGTGGCAAAAAAGGATTTTGCAAATATAATTAAGGCTTCTAGTTAGTTGGCTGTGAATTAATCAAGACTGAGATTATTTTGAGTGAGCCTGACCTAATCAGGTAAGCAGTTAAAACAAAAGAGATTCAAAGCCAAAGGCATTTTCCTGTTGATTCTGAAGGAGGAAACGGCTATGTTGTGGGGAGGGTCACGTGGTAGAAGATGGCAAGAAGCCTCTAGGAGCTGTGAATGATTCCTAATTGATAGCCAGCAAGAAGCAAAGACTTCAGACCTACAACTACAGAAACTTAATTCTGCTAACAACCAAAGAGCTTGGAAAATGATACTGATAAGATTGTAGCCCTGGCTAACACCTTGATTTCAGCCTTATGAGAGCGTGAGCAGAGGATTAGCTAATCCACACCCATACTCCTGATATGCAGAAGCTGTGAGCCAAACGATGTTATTATATGTTCTTAATCTGAGCATTCAGCAATAGAAAATTAATATTTGCCTTTGCATGACAGAGCCCAGCTCACTCCTCAAATTCAAACTGCAAGAGCTTTGGGAGAGTTACATTGTTAGCTTTCCATACTCTAAAATTCAATAAGAGAAACCAGAAGTGGTTGTTGTTTATATTAAGTAAGTCAATCTCTAGTGTCAGCCACCCACTTCTTTTGAAAATTATTTTCCAAAACATCTTTTACAGGATATATGATAGGCTAAAAATGTCATTTCATTTTTTGTTTGTTTGTGTAAAACAGCAAAGATCAGTCTGTCCTGTGAGCAAATATTCAAGAAAAAGTAATTAACATATATGAATCAACCAGTTGTCTCAACTCATATATAAATATTCCTGCTGATTTCTCTATTAAAAAGTGCTTAGAGAATAGATGATCACTTTAGTAGCAGGAGATCCTGCTACTCCAGGAGTGGCCTCTTTAGCAGGATTGTTGACATGCAGACTCTCCATGACTTTATACATATGTTGATAAGAACACCTGTGGCCTCTGGTTCCCATCAGTACTGAGTAGATTGAAAATATTCTCAGTGGTCTTCTCATAGACAATCCAACAAACCATCAACAAAGTAAAGCTAGTACGAGAGACATTTTTTTAAATCTTCCAGCAGAGAAGCATTAGGGCAAGTTAGATTTATCTGATAATGTACTTCTGCTTCTCCCAGGGAGTTTGAGAGGACAGTATTCCATGAAAGTAGAAAAGTTTTCTGATTCACGACAAAGCTGGGTTTGTTTTCCACATAACAAATGTATAGCATTTGATCCTCCCCACACTAAAGTGCTTCTGTTTATTTTTACATCAAGTAGATTTTAACCATCTCCCTTGCTTTATTAATAGTCTCTAACCCAACTTCCTCCCATTTCAAACCACCAATGGTAGGGAAGGGTAAACAATAAGAATGACATGTAAGAAATTGTGGTATCCAAAAACAAAACAAAAAGTCCCATTTGCTTTACCTCATGTCGTAATTTCCCAGACTTGTTCCTCTTGGCCTGTTGAGCTCGGCATTTTCTCGCGGGGAGCAGAGCAACTTCTTACAAAACCTTACTTGGTGGGTTTTCCCAGGTGCCTGTTATTTCCTTAACAGCACATAGTAGCAGTCCCTTAATTTTTACAGTTCTGAAAGTTGGCAAAGTGCCTTCAGAAAGTCTTGTCTTATTTCAATTGATTCCTTTGCAACAATCCAACAGGAGTCAGGACATGTATCATTATTTCCAGTTTATAAACAACAGAAACTTCCATTTCTAGAGTTACATAACTGGCTTACACTATGATAAGCCATGACATGCAGATCAGAACCTGAGTGTTTGGAGTGTAAATGAGGCAGTTGTTCCCCAGGACTCCTGCCCTCTTACCAATACATCAATGAATGGATATAAATAAATATTTAGTAGGCAATGGCTTCCTCCTGCTCTCTAGTCTTGCCTCTCCAAATCCTCTTTGCACTCAGAAAATACACATGTGACACTATTGACAAAATTAAGTACAAGTTTCCAAGCACTGACCTCTGAATAGGAAGGAAAAAGAAAAAAGAAATTTTCTAGCATAAATTTGTATACTGCTTACATCTTAAGTTTTACCCTTTTTCCTCCAGAACAACCATGTCTTCTAGTCTGTTCCTAACACCTCCTGGCTTCTGCCTAGACTTGCCACTGACTGGCTTTTTTGTCTGAGTAAGCTGTATTTGCCCCTGAAGACTTTGCTCAGACTTTTCCCAGGCTGATCAGGAGAGTCCACTTCCTATTTAGTCTATTTCTCTTCTTATCATATTATTAAAATTTCTGCTAAAGTGTACATAACCCTCTCTAGGCTGTGAGCCCATTTAGATGTCTTATTTATCTTACGTTCTCTGTATTTAACTTGGTGCTGGGAATTTCAGCACTGAAATGTTTGTGGAATTAGAATTAATAAGCAATGGTTTTATTGGCTAGAAAATAGAAGCAAACAAAGGTGAGCCTCCAGAGGTATAAATTCCCTATCCAAACTTGCTCTGTGGGGACTGAGAGTCTAGGAAAGGGATGAGTCACCTCCTTTTACACTTTGCCATAAGTTGGTCTAGAGAGGGGAACAAAGAGCACAGGGAGTGAGGCCAAGGGTCCTGGGATAAAAGGGTACACCTGTGGGTACTGTAGTGACCATGGAGGTTTCCCATTCAAATCTTCCTTCCAGAGGACCCACGGCAGGGAAGAGAGCTGGCTGACAGCCTTCTGATGCCCCACCTTTAAGCTGATTGCAGCATTCAAACCAGGTGCTGCTTTCCACTGGCTGCTCCCAGATAATGGCATAGTGCAGTGGGAGTAGTAGGGCCAGGTCACCTCTGCCTGACACAAAACTCCTCTAATGAGAAGCTTCAGGTCTTAGAGCCCAGGGATCCACACTGGCCTGGCCGAGACATTCTCAGAACTGTACTTCGGTCTGAGGCTGCTCCCAACTCCATCCTTCCTTCTTGTTCTCCTTTCCCAGACCCGCATCAGGGGCTGAAGGCTGTCCCTGCCCCCTCATGCTCTCTGCCCATTGTTCCCAATAAATCTCTTGCCCATATAATCCCATTTTGATAGCTGCTTTTTAGAGGACCCAAACTGACAGAGATACTTCAAGATTTAGGGCTAAATGTATATTTTTTTAATGTTACTCAAAGTCTATAGACTACTATCTATTTAACAATGCCCCACTTAGTCTAGAGCTACATGGCAGTTTAGAATTAGAACTTAAAATAAAAAGACAGGAAAAATAGGTTCTGCTTCTGCACACCTGAGGTACATACAGGCAAAGTGGAGGGGTAAAGGAGCCCAAGCCTGGCCTGCAACTGGTGTGAGGAGGATCAAGCTCTCATGGAATCCTGTGACAACTAGACTGTGGCCAAGTCATCAGGGTACCACATGGGTTGAGGAGCATGGAGCAGGCTTCTGACAGCCACAGAATATAAATAACACAGCTGTCTCCACAACTAACAAGAGGAGGAGAGCCACAGAGAAGGGGGGACGGCAAGAATTAACTTGTGTATCAACCCCTGAAATAGGCTAACACTTCCCTTGTTATTTTGTTTTTAAATTTTAATTGGGTATTTTGGCTGGGTGCAGTAGTGGCTCATGCCTGTAATCCTAGCACTCTGGGAGGCTATGCAGGAAGATCACCTGAGGCCAGGAGCTCGAGACCAGCCTGGCCAAAATGGCAAAACGCTATCTCTACTAAAAATATAAAAATTAGCCAGACCTGGTGGTGCATGCCTGTAATCCCAGCTACTCAGGAGGCTGAGGCAGAAGAGTCACTTGAACCCAGGAGGCAGAGGTTGCAGTGAGCTGATTGTGCCACTGTACTCTAGCCTGGGCAACAGAGCAGGAATCCAGCTCAAAAAAAATTTTTTTAATTGGGTATTTCAAACCACTTTATACTTTTGTTGTATTTGTGGATATTCATAACCAGAAATGTATATAAATATCACGAGGGTTGTGACCAGGAAACATTTTATTGTATGGGGAAATCTTTGAGATGCCAAACAGCAAATAGTTAGTTAACCCTTTAAAAAACCTCCTTCACATGAAAAATCCAAACTCCATGAGAAATAGCTTCTAATCCCTTAAAAATAGAGCACTCAGTCACCCAAACATGCTAGAGTGAGTTTCAGTTCTCTCACACAATCTTCTGAGCCACACCTAAACTAAACTATCAGCCTCTCTTTGATCATGTGGCCAGGTAAATGAAATAACAACAGGTCTACACTGAGACACTTGGATAACTTGCAATGTCTGGTTTACTTATCTTCATGGTATTTCTGAGCCTAATATTAATGTGATCTATAGTTTTACCTTTCTTCAAAATAAGACAAATTTAAAGAGACAACAGAAAAGGTCACTGAGCTCCTCCAACATATCCATAGAAAAACAAGGTATATGTGAGCCATGATAAAAGTTAGGCGATAGGAGCTTCTTGGAATGCAGTATCTTTCACCTTTATTTAGTTCATTGAATAACGTAAAAGAGAATGCGTTAGAGCCCCTACCACAGCTACCTCAAAGATTTTATACAACCTCCTGGAATCGTTTAGCCTTTAACCTCTGAGAAAACCAGGAGCCAACATTTTCCAGGATTTTCCTTCTATTGTTTAATATTACAGAAATAGTGCCTTTCTTTTTTCATCCCAACTATAAAATTATATAATTATACTGAATAAATGGTTTTCAAACAACAAATACTTTAATGAAGATTCTAATGTGTTCTATCCCATCTCTGAATATCAGAGTAAGTCTCCTCAATATCAGTTGAGAATAATTGGTCTGGGCTGACAGTGTTACTTAACAGATGAGAAAAACTGAAGCCAAAAATTAAGTGATTTGTAAAAGTTTACAAAATTCATGAAAACCTGAAATTGATTATATGTTATATCACTTACCTTAATCAATTTGAAAAGTATATTCCAATATTGTTGAAAGACAATAGATAAAATAAATAATAATTTCTACCTGTAGTAGTTCATTTTCACACTGCTTCTATAAAGAACTACCTGAGACTGGGTAAATTATTAAGACAGTAGATTTAATTGACTCATAGTTCCACATGACTGGGGAGGCCTCAGGAAACTTACAATCATGGCAGAAGGCAAAGGGGAAGCAAAGCACGTCTTACATGGTGGCAGGAGAGAGAGAGAGAGAGAGAAGGGAAGCACCACGCTTTTAAATCATCAGATCTTGTGAGAACTCACTCACTATCATGAGAACAGCATGGGGAGGGAAAATCCTCCCCCATGATCCAATCATCTCCCACCAGGTCCCTCCTCTGACATGTGGAGATTAAAATTCCACATGAAATTTGGGTGGGGACACAGGACCAAACCGTATCACTACCCCTGAATGATAAAATGTGACAAATTTTCTATAATATTATATTCTGTCTGTCAAGTTTCTATGGCCTACCTTTCGTATAGCCTCTTATAAAAAATAGGACATAGTTCCTGCCCTCTAGGAGTTTATGGCCTAGTGGGTGCAATGGACAAATAAATGGATTACTTCAATTTATGAAGCAGATTTAATAAGGGCGGAAAAACAATGATGTTCAAGCACAGAAGACAGTGATTCAACCAAGGTTAGTGATCAGGAAGCTTCTTAAAGCAGTCCTTCTACCTCTACAAGATGAATGTTCCTAAAAGAGAACCTATAACTGTTTATTTTAGTAACCCACAGTGCCTGCTAGAATACCTGGTTTATTCACCCTTAACAAATATTGCTTTCACTTTTGCATGACATTTTTCTTACACAATACTATAGCCAAATAGTTTTAAGAACTTTGCAAACATCTACATGATTGCACTGAATGCCATTTTTTTCAATTTTTTAAGTATTTGAATAAAATTTATTATGCTATATGATATGCAAAAAAAGGGAAAAAAAGCCCTCTTGTTTTTCTATTCAAAAGGGAATTTTTTCTTCACTACCTCCTCTTTTTTGACGTAGGGGAACTTGACTCTCTTTGTTTTGTATAAGTAAAAGTAAAAACAAAATTCTTCCAATTAAATGATATGAATGAATTGAACAATTAAAAAATAGTAAGAACAGACTCATTTTTAAAATATTCAGTAAGATAGATGGCCTGAACTATTTTACTTATAATACAGGGCAAGAATTGAAAAGTTTTAAGGACATGTTCTTACAAGGACTATAATTTGCTCACCCTCAACTGCCTCTTTGACTCCAACTTCCTTACCTCCTCCCTTCTCCATTGGCTTAAGCACTGGCCTGAACAAGCAGTGTGCCAACACTGCCTTTTTCTCAGAATACAAGAATTGTGCCACCCACAATCCCATGGCTGGAGGCCAGGGCACTGCCAGCAACACAGGCATGAGTCAGGCTGTGGCTTGTGTAAGAATTCCTGGTCTAGGTTCTTTCCTGACAGTTCACTTGGAATTGCCACCATTGACAGTATGATGGCAAGAAGGATGTGTTAGAAAAGCATGTAGCAAGGCAAGTCAAGAAACTTGACTCTTAGTCTTGTTACTTTCTGGAGGTATGACCAACAGCATTTCTCCTAATCTGCTGTTTACCCCATAGAGTTATTGTAAGAACCAGAACAAGACAATGAACACTAATTATTTAATTTTTGTTAGTGAGGGAAAAGAGACATTCTTACATGCCATTAGTCAGAGTACAGATTACAATACTTTTTGGAGAGTAATTTGGCAGTAATTATTAAACATAAAAATGTCCAGACCTGTGGCCTAGTTACTCCTTTTCTGGAAATTGAGCCTCAGGAAATAATTAAGAAAGTGTAGAAAGATGTTCATAAAAGGATGTTTACCAAAATGCTATTTGTAACAACCAAATATTAGAAACAATCTAGTGTCTAATAATAGAATTTGGGTAAATACATTTGAATATACCTACATAGTAGAGTACCATATGGCTATAAAAAATAAGGTTGTAAAAATAAAGAATATAGCTATTGGTACATGATATAGAAAATGTAGTTATTAAGTATATAAACAAATCACAAATTTGTATATATACTGATTCTCTCTCTCTCTCTGTCTCTCTCTCTCTCTCTCTCTCTCTCTCTCTCTCACACACACACACACACACACGCACACTTACATAGAAAGAAAAGGGGTGGGAGTATGGAATTATACCCACCAAGGAGTCCAAAGGGTTTAACTCAAAGTAATGCTGTTTGATTTTTCTTCTATTTATGTGTCTGTTTTCCAATTTTCTTTTTTTTTTAATTGCATTTTAGGTTTTGGGTTACATGTG